AAGTCCAAATAAGTGGGATGGAATTTTTCTACCCCCCTCCCACCAGGCACAGGCAACTGGATATAACTCAGCCTCATGCACATCCAGTGAGGAGGATCTGGTCTGGCTCTGCACATGCCTGTCTCTTTTTATTTTTGTCTCTCTAAAGGAGAGTTCTCAAAACAGTCCAATTGGTTTTAAGTTGTTTTTAAAGGGACAAAGGGAAACATCAGATGTTGAAAATGCACAGCGAACGAAACAGCTGTACTGTAAAAAAAACCTCTGAAAAAACATACTTTACAATGGTAATTATGACAGATTAAACAATGAGTGTCATCAGTGTGATGGTACAAAGCACACAATACTGTTTCTTACTCAAATATTTGCAGACATCTCTGATTTTTTATTTTAATGAAATCTCATCTAAGTATTGAATTGGTTTTAAGAACCATCCTGAGGCTCACAAGAGCTTTCGCTGTCAGAAGCCCTGTCAGATATTTGAACTGCAATTTGTCTCAAATGGTTCCCAGCTTGAGCTGGAGAAATGCTGTAAACATATCCTTTTTAAGAGGTGACGAGTCTGAAAAATCACTGCCTGCAAAGACCACATCTCTGAGAGGAGCTGAGGACCTCTCCGGCCATACAGTTACAACAGGAATTTTAAGGATCCCCACACCTTGACAGAAACTCTTGCTGCAGATTTTCTGTGCTTCTCAAACATATCCAGGAACTGCTCTGTTTTGTGATTAAGCTGTCCTCTTCGGATGGCTAAGCACCTGGAATCCACTCCTCATTCACTACATATGTGCATGACAAGTATGGGCTGCAACCATGAAGACAAAGGAAATAAATCAAATCCTTCTGAGGACTTTTGAGAGCTTCACAGCTATTGGATGGGAAGTAACACAGTTTAAACAATGATACATTAATTAATTATAAATGACAGCATGTGAACCCCTGGATTTTCTGCTAATACCAAATGAGTTTGTGATGGTTTATATAAAATAAGAAACTGATAGAAAAGCCTCCATGTGATAATAACACCCAGATATTTAAGGAAATTGGCTTTGAAGGTTGCTGGGCATAATACAAAGAATATTCAATGAACTGAATCCTGAGGTTGACCCTTCACTATTATTTTGTTTCAAGCAAAAATGTCTATTTGCTTTAATAAGAACTCTTTTCAAATAAAGCAAATCACCTCAGATGCGACCCCTGTGGATATGTCTCACTGTCACGTTCAATATAGTTGTCTGAACTCCTGTATTTGTGACAACCTGCTTCCTGTTGGCTCTCACAGTACTTGCCAGATTTTTCCTTGTTTCCTTTAGGTGTCTATTTGGACTGAGTTTCGCTGCACCTAAGAAAGATGATGATGACTGTTCAGTACAGAAGGAGAAGCTGTGCTTTGCCGCAGTCCCATTAATCCCTGAAGAAATTTGGAATCAGAAGACAACCTGGCATGGGTTGTATTTCTAAGCTGGCTGTGAAAACCACATGCATTTCAAAGGCCAGCCATTTCCCCCACCAATCCTGTGTGCCACCCCTGCTGACTTGGAAGAAGTAGCTCTGCCATAAGCCCCAAGTCTCACCACTCTGAAAAAGTAAAATACTAAGGAAAGCGATGAAATCATTAAAAAGACAGGAAACAGACGGGTGTTTGCCAAATGGAGAAGGGCCACATGACTAGGCAAAGAATGTTTATTTTAGCACTCCCAAAGTCGGCTAAAGATAGCAGAGAGTGAAAATAAACGTGAGAGCTATCACACTGAAGTAAGAGGAGTTCACAAGCATCTTTAGGGTAGCAACACAAGGGAGGAATTTTGGAGCTGTATGTCTGAGTAGGTTCTGTACCAGCTGCTCTGACCACCCAAACAATGGGGCACTTTGTGGACAGGCAGGTACCTACTGAGAAGTGGGGCAAAACCACAGTATCCTTCATTTTGATGGATAACAAAATGTCTATGCCAATAATACCATTGCAACTGTTCCTAGACTGCTCCATACATCACTAGATCTGGGGCAGCACAAAATTAAGGATCGTGAAGTAGAATATGGACACGGAAAAGTTCCCTGCAAGACTCTGCACAATATACTGAAACATATGCAAATAGCAACAGAATAGATTCAGCTTTCTTATTTGACCTTATTTCTTTTCAAAATTTCTTCTAGATTCTTCAAGAGAGAAACCTAAATACATTGCAAAAACCTCAAATGCTTTGCTCATGTATTTTTTAAATTTTCATATCTTTTCTGAACTGATGAAGAGAGTTATCGAAGACTGCCATGCTAATTCCTGAATTTCTTCCTGTTTATTGCCCTTTCACAAGTGGCTGACTCAACAGACAACTGAGAAAAGACTAAATAAGTTTTCTCTGGGTGGCATTTTAAGCTGGAGTATTTTAAGAACTGCTGTTATGTTGCAGCTGAATATTCCAGCAGACTGTCTGACTCCTTTCTGAATCAGAGTGCCACCAGGCCAAATATTTGCACGAATTCCATGCATTGCCCTGTACAATCTGCACAGAGAAGAGCAATTTTATATGCAGGTAAACAGTGGCTCTTTATGCCAGCATTTGATCCCTAAAAAAATACAATCTTTAGAACAACACCAGAATAGGCAGATTAAATTGTGAATCTAGCAAAATCCACGCTTTCTCAAGAACTTTTTTTAATGTCCTATGTCTCAATCCACAGACGGACATATAATTCTATAGACAGATCTTTTTGTGAAGAGAGATCAATAAATCTGAAATTGTACAGGAATTAAAGGTGAAAAAAGATATCTCAAAGCCTTCAAAACATAGATTTGAACTAAAGTTGCTGAGTTGCTGTTAATGATACCAATTGTCTGGGTTGGAATTTTTTGAGACAGAAAGTTGGTACAAACATCCAAACAAGGTCACTGAAAGATTTTACTGAATCAGCAAAATTCCTCAGTCTTCCAGTCTTTTAGAAAAAAGCCAGAAAATTTGAAGTCTATTTATAAGAAAGGAGAACAGAGAAGAAGCAGAGCTATTCTAAAAAGATTACTAAATGTAACTAATGTAGATTTGAACATGTACCTTGGAGTGGTAGAGGTAATGGAACTTGGCTCCATAACCCTACTTCTGCAGCATGACTGTTTTCTAAATCACTCTTCAGTGATACGCAATCTAAAGAAGTCTTATCACAAGACTTATCTCCTTTAAATGGTGGCTAGTAGAAACTAAGACTATTTAGAAGAAAAATACTTTTTTTTTCCTAACTTGCAATTCAAAACCACAATGTTGTTTTCTGTTTATTTTGAATAGAAATATGCTCTCATGACCAGTGGATTGACTTAATAAAACACACCAACTGCAATGAACTTAAAATTCCTTACTCCTTTCTATTTAAATAATTGTTTTGTCACCAGCTTGCTGACTGATCTTACACAGCTTATTAACACCTATAGTTTTCAAAAGTATTCTGTACTTTTTATTTATATTGTCTGTGCAGAACAAAATACAGGAATTGTCTGATTTTCAGGGCCATGAAACTGAAAACTTCAATGTGCAGAGATTCAGCATCTTAAAAAAAGAATATGGTTCGTCCATAATTCACCCCCAAACTCCAGTTGCAGTTACCACGCAGAAAGATGCATCCTCCTCTACAAAGATGTCAAGTTTCAAATATAAGAGAATAAAAATAATGGACTAAATCTCATAGTCACAGTAACATCCATCTATAAAATAGGAAAAATGCTGATCCATTTTTTGACCATCTCCTGTTGGTTTCTACTTTTCTAAAAAATTGTGAATTGACACCAGAATGAAAGTGATTAAAAGAGAAGGAAATAACCAGAGAGGGGATTGGTTTTTCTTTCAGTTACTTTGCTGCTGGTAAATGGTGAGAGTGTACTGTAATTTTAAACCAACATCCTCAGTTAAGGAGACATTGTTTTAGTCAACTTACTAATTGAAGAAAACAACACAATTTTCTTTCTATCTCAGCAAGTATTCCTTGTGCCTGTGGCAAGGAGACTGTGGTGTAAGGGAAGGATGGCCAGAGAGGGAAGGGCACTCTCTTTGCCAGGCAGCAGGCTGAGGAATGAAATTCTTCTCATGTGTGTTCACTTCAACTCCCACTTTACATGCAGACAGGAGATAAAATATGAGTTTATCAATGCATATCCAAGATACTGTGGAAAGACTCTTTAGTATATAGCCCTTGACACAGACCCCCATGTTCCTTTGGAGCGGGAACAGGCTGCAACTATGGATAGGACAAGAGCACAAAGTCTTAAGCTGTGCCAAGAGAGGTTTAGATGGACATTAGAAAGAATTCCTTAACAGAAAGTGTGATTAGATATTGGGATGGGCTGCCCAGGGAGGTGATGGAGTCACCATCCCTGGAGGTGTTTAAGGCGAGTGGACATGGCACTGACAGCCATGGTCTGGTTGACATCGTGGTATTCCGTCAAAGACTAGACTTAATGATCTCAGAGGTCTTTTCCAACCCAACTGATTCAGTGAGTTTGTGAATGTGAAAACAGTTTAAGGTCCCTCAATGCTCCCACAAACACCACTCCTGCTGCCTGATGGAGCACAGGGCCCATCCCACCCCGCTCCTGTCTCTTGAGTACAGTGGGGATCACACGAAACTACAGTGGGGAACACACGACCAGGGTGTTCAGAGCCGAGGGCAGAAGCACGACGGCTGCTGCCACCACACACCAGGCGCTTCTGCTCAGCACTTAAGGGAGCACTTATTTCCGTGGGCTACGACCGCTGCCCCCCAGCCAGCCACCAGGGCAGGCGACCAACATGGTTGCAGGAGTGACACTGGAGCCGCTGGAGGTACACCCCCCGCCGGTGGGACGCGGGGCCGAGCAGCCCTGAAGGCCCCGGGCCCGAGTTCCCTGCCGGCTGGGAGCCCGCGGCCCCCCGGGATGCGCCGCGCAGGCAGCGAGGCTGGAACGGGACTCTCGCGAGAGAGCGGCCGGCCTCGCCTGCAACTCGCACACACACGGGCCTCTCGCGAGAGCGGGACCTGCGGGCGGCATGGAGCGGCTGTTCGCGCTGGAACTGCTGGTGGAGGCGCTGCGGGTGGCGGAGCCCCAGGGGCCCGTGGAGCTCCCGGGGCCCGCAGAACACCCGGCCGTGGCGCTGCGCCTCTTGGACTTCCCCACCCTCGTGCTACGCCCCGCCGCCGCCGCGCCGCCCCTGCGGCCAGGGAAGCCCTTCCCCTTCGGCCGCGGCAAGCGCTGCCTGTTCCGCTGGCGACAGGACGCGCTTTTCGCCGCGCTCCGCCGCCGCCCGCTCCGCGCCCTGCTCCTAGCGCTGCCCGCCGGGCTCGCCCCGGGACCGCCCCGCCTCCTGGGCAGCTGCACCGTGTCCTTGGCCCCCGCCGCCGAGCTGCTGCAGCGGCCCGGGGCGCCCTCCTCCTGCGGCCGCCGCGGCCGCTTCGCGCTGCGGGACAGCGCGGGCCGGCCCGTCGGGGAGCTGGTCCTGCGCTACCGCCTCAGCAGCCTGGAGGCCGGTGGGGCGCGTCCCGCCAGCCCCCGCACTGCCACACCGCCTGCCACCACCCCGGAACCGCGAGACGAGGAGGAGGAGAAGGAGGAGGAGGAGAAGGAAGAGGAGGAGGAGGAGGAGGGTGAGCAGCTGGAAGGCAACGTCTTTTGCCCTCCGCTGCTCTATTACAGCCGTGAGCCGGCTGAGCATCAGCGGCCGCCAGCAGCAGTAAGGCAGTGGGAGCATGTCGAGCCGCAGAGACCGCAGGAGAAGGACAAGGGCCACAGCCCACCGCGTCCCAGTGCTGGGCCCTCGCTGCTGCACCCCGCCACCCCTCGAGAGCCCCAGCACGCCCTGGTGCAGCTGCCACTGCTCAGTGCCTTGCTGGCAGAGCTGTCGGTGCTCACCCGCAGCGCTGTGCCTGCTCCTGCTGTCCACCCCCATCTTGCCTGGCTCTACCAGCCCCCAGGGAGTGGGGACGCGGCCTCACAGCCTCCCAGTCACTCTGCTGCCCTGAGGCCTGCAGAGACACCTGTGGGGCCTAGCAGGAGCAGTGAAGTCCCGAGCCCTCCGTTCAAACAAGGCAGTCAAAAGGCCACCTCCCCAGAGTCTTCTGGGGTTGGGAGACGACCCAAGAAAGCTGTACCTGAGGAACAGGCAGCCTGTGAAAGGAGCTGCAAAGCTAAGGAGAACAGACCTCCCAGAAAGAAATTGTTGTATGGGCTGACAAATACGCTGAGGCTACGGCTACAGAAGACCAACCCGGATAAGCTGATAATTCATGAAAGAAGGGAGCAGTACAGAAAAAAGCAAATGGAGATGCTGAACGGGAGAAGCCCCTTACCCAAGAGAAAACTGGTCAGAAATACTGAAGAACAGCATGTGGTGTCTTGCAGGCATTGTAGCACAGGAGGCAGTTCAAAGCGGAATAATCAGTTGGATAAAATTGTTCAAACTTCATTAGAAAACAGTGCTCTCTCAGAGTCAATTTCTGTGACAGGAGATAAATCCCCTGGCCTGCAGAAACAGTCTATTGCAAGTCTATCCAAGAACAATTCAATAATTACAGCCCCCTTACCAGAGGAAACTCTGTTAAAATCTGCTCATGAGGAAAAGTATGCAAAAGCTCAACTCCCAGCAGCATTCCCATCAGATGCTAATGCAAAAGGAAGTTACAACGATGCAATAAACTTAATCCATCATAAAACCATGGAGCATGATGATGTATCTGTTGTGAGTGGTCATAAACTGAGCCCCAGCAGGAGTGTTGAAAACAACTCTGAATTCATATATTCTGATGACTTTGTTGCTAGTCCAGAGAACACAGTTTGTTCAGAAGATTTCACCAATGCTGAGAGTACAGGTAGAGACTCCAAAGTTTGTGACAGCAGTCCTGAGCCTCTGTGGCTTGAAAGACCAAAGCAAGATAGGTCAGATACAGAGTCAGAATCCAGAAGATCCCGAATTTCAAAGACAAGTCAAAGAGCTCAGAGTACTTCAGATCTTGTGCCAGTTCCTTCCGCCTCATCTCCAGTCCAGTCTTTGAGGAGAAACTGTGACTTTAAAACCAGCATGGGAACTAGTGCTGAATCTGCTGATTCACTTAACCTTGCTGAGATGGAGGCATCATTAGTAGAAGATGAAGAGCAGAAAGCCCAACAGATGAGTAAGGAAGAGAACAGGGGTGATAGACACATTAAAGAAATATCTTCACCGAGAAGCAAACAAGTTAAATCTGATACTGATCTGAATACAGGAAAGGGGCAGACCTCTGCAGGACAAAAGCAGTCAGTAACTCAAGTTAGCTCTTACTTGCCATCTAACATGTCTGATCTTGAATTTAATGTTCTGGAAAACAGTAGGTCAGACGAAGAAGATGATTTTCTGGAAAAACTACATGGCCCTAATCAGTACAAAGACATCAGTGAACTTGTAATAAACAAACTCCCAGGATATACAATGTAATTATAAGTTTTCACTATCTGGATTAAGATACAATATTTGAACTTTGTAAATCCTGTTACATTTAGTTACACTAAATTTAAGATTTTATCATGTACATTTATTACCAGTGAATTTAGTTATGAGATTTTTAAAATAAATTACTATTTGAATCTCTAACAAATGGTGTCTACAACCTGACTTGAGTGTCAGTATCTTAACACAAAAATAATCCAAAGAGCACATGAAGCATAATTTCTGTCAAAGGAGAAATTAAGACAGAAGCAGCAAAAGCAGCCAGTACCAACAAAAGTAGTCCAGGGTAGACGTAATATCATGATACCAGAACAGCCAAGTACAAAATTCATTCCTAACCAAACAGAAGGTTTTATTCCTCCTGAAAATTTCCAAGCTTCCTTTTCATTAGAATTAGTTACTTAGAACATATAGTCACAGCCAGTAGCATCACAGAATTTTATCAGCTAGTCAGTATAAAGATGTGTTTGTTTCCCTTTTCCATCACTAAATACAGTAACCAGAACTGGATGAGTCCTTTTAGAGTTTCTTAGGTTAAAGTTTCATTTAATTCAGATTTTCACAATTTATTATTGAATAGTGTAAGAATTATTGGTGATAGTGAATCTGTATAATCTGGGCAAGCTTTAAGAGGTGGATGGAATTCACTTGACCTTGAAGACTAGGGGTATGCAAGGAGTAGGGAAGAGCATAGTAAATCTTCAATGCTTCACAACTCCCTGATTGCATTCTCTGACTCTAGGGAAAGAGGTGGGGTCAGCACCCACAGTCCAGAAACTTGGAACAAATGAGCATATTATGTCATGATGTAAAGATGTGAGGTAATGAGAAATTTGCCATGTCTCCTTTGCCATTAAAATAGTTGAACTGATGTCTGCTTTTGATTTCGGGTTTGCTTTTTATGGCTTCCAGTTTGATCATTGAACTTAATGTCTTCTGTTTAACTACAGAGGTTTTTCTAGAGTCCGTGTGCTGATCCTAAATTTTAGAGGTGCTTTTTGACTTGAATTCCTGCCTTAGTTTTTAGTCTCATGTACCCCCCCCCCCCCTTTTCCCCTCTTTGAGTAGTTCATCTCCTATGTCAGCTTTACATTGCTAACTATCTCCTCAATTAGGACAGTTATCCTCAGGGTTAAATGACAGACTTTTCCACTCTCCTTTTCTTTATAATTTACAATCTGACTTTTTTACACAACTTTTTCATTTCTAACTGTAATTTTCCATTTACTTTATTACAAGAGCCAGTATTTACACTTTAACATCTTGGAGGAGCTTTTTTCTTTACCTCCTACTATGTGTTTATTTTGTAGGAATGACAGCACCTCTCCTATTTAAAGCATGAACATCTGTGAGGATTATTGAAGTATCTAGTGTTGACTTTCTAAAAACCACTAGTAATATTTTTAATCTAAAGGTAAGCAGCTGAAATTACCTATATACCAAAGGAATCTCTGGCCAGAGCAATTCCTAAATCTTATTTAGGGTTTCTTTCATCAGCTACAATTTTAGAACAATTTTTTTTTCCTTTTTCTTCCAATGCCATGGACTTCTTTGATAAACATGGATTCCGACTGTCATTTATACATGGCAGTTATTCTGATTTTATTGATGCAGTAATGTCTTGCACTTCTCATGAGCAAAACTGTCATTAAAATACAATGCTGACCAACCATTTTTACTGTGTGGCTATTTAAATGAGGTGCTAATGCTACAAGTGCACAATTTGAAGAACATTTTTAAAGAAAATTTTATTTCAAAAATAAAAGTTTATTTTCAGCTCCAAGCAGGTTGAAACTCAAGGGCAAATTTCCAGTCTTTTTTCTATCCCCTATTCCATCTTCAATTTTCAATTTCCAGAAGCAAATATGGTAGGACAATATTTCTTTTGTTTAAATAATGAAATTAATCTCTTTTCAGCTGATTTTATTTGGAATAACATTTCTAATGTTTACTGTGTAATAGCATTTATAATTTTATCAGGAGAACAATGAAAATGACAAAAAATGCATACTAGGAAGACAATAGAAGACATTACACTAGAACAAAACTGCACCATCATGCTTGCATGGCTTAGCTTGTTTGTTTCTTTTCAAATATATACTCCAGGTAGTGATTATTGCATGAAGAGATTAGCAGGTAGTTTCTGCCCCCAGGGATAATAGTCTTTTCAGATGTTACTATCTTGTTGTGAGAGTAAATTAATTTTTACTTAACATTCAAACAGCAACTCTCAGTCAACAAAAATGGGAAAGAACTTTATTATTGAAAACTCATAAACCATTATCTTAGCAAGAAATAGTTGCTAATGACAAGAGGATTTTATGTCAACACAACAGAACAAAACAGAGATATTAATTACCAATATAAAATATTTTTAAATGGCCGCAGCAAACTCCCTTTTGTACAATTCCTATAGTAATCTACACCTCCCTTTTGTACAATTCCTATAGTAATCTACTCCTAGCTAGCCAGTTTTGTTATTATAACTTGCAGCCTGTACCCCTGTTATCAAGTAGTTAAGATCAGAGTTTTAATAAGAGATGTCTCTAATGGAGGTATTACACCATTCTTTCATAGTTTCTAAACTGTAAGGGCTGAATTGCACAGATGATGTTTGTGCAGGGGATATGACAATATGCTGGGAGAAGCAAATAATAGCATATACATTGCAATTCTTGCACAGCTGTCCCAGAAGTAACATAAATACTTAAGGATACATGGTCTCATTGACTCATTACATCTAAAAATTTCCTTGCTGCACACTTTTAAACAGTAAACTACAGTTACTTTAAGTTTTATGTTGTTGTAAATGTTAAACTTTACTACAGCAAAATTAAAAGGTGAGAAGTAATTATCTAAACTTATAGATCCTCACTAAACAAAGCCACCTGACTTCTTACTTTAGACTTGTTACTTTAACAAGATTGCTTGAAATCTGTATGATATTTTAGAGATATGTTAGATGGGTGTTTAAAAACATAGTTTCATTGCTTAAGTTTAGGGTGGTTAAATCTGCCCAAATAAAATTGAATTAATGTTTTACAACAAGACCCAAAACAAGAAATAAACACTTAGTTCTACACATTAATTCAGATTTTATGGTTGTTGCTGTAACTGTTTTTTTAACAGTTATTTCAGCATACTATTTACTAAATCAAATCTAGATAGCCACTACTATGTAACTGATAATGCGATGGGAAAAGCAGAATACTAAATACTGATAGCTTCTGGCACTCTTCCCTTTCTATTGTAATATTTTCCTGCTACCAGTACTTCTTACAGATCTTATTACTTGATGGCCAAGAACAGTGCTAAGAAATCCCAGCCAGGTAGGTTTCCTCCGCTCCATTTTTTTTTATTCCTCAGCACTCTGATTAGATGACACAGATTCTTCTCTGTGATTTCTATGATGACACTTCCTACCACCTATTTTACTACTTGTAATCCTTTCATCATTTTGGAAATCCTTTTCCTCAGTTCTCTGAAATTCCATCCAGCCTTGGTAACAGTGCAATTGAACTTTTGACTTGCTCTTACTTATTTCATTCTTCTAGGTCCCAGTATTTTGTGATGCCTGGTATTGTAGTAATTTTATTTCTCTTTGTGTAAGTGCTGGTCAGTCATTATTTAGATGTTAGTCATTGTTTAGAAATCTTTATAACTTTGCTTCCTTTTTCTTAGCATTTGTCATCAGCATTTACTACTTGCTTGTCTTTGACTGTCTAAAAAGAAGTCAAAGAATTGAACCCTGTATTTAGAGCTTTAAAAGGTTTCATTTAAAGACTTCTACATGCAAGACCTTCACCAGTGGCTGTGTAACGCCACTCATTCAGAGCTGTAGAATGTCCATTTAGGACTGCGAACATTTGCCCATAGTTATCTTTTGCCATGGCAGACAGCAAGCTTCTCTAACTCTACCAAACCCTGCCTTTTAAGCCTTTTCTAAAGTTTTGATTTCCAAATTAACATTTCTTTTAAGATGACTGAGGCCATCTCTGTGAGAACAGATGTTGGCTTTAATTTAGCATGCATTTAGAGCTAATGGCAATCACATCTGCTATAGCTAATGTTTGCTACCAGATAGCTGCTTGCATTTTCCATCCTCTCTTTCAGTCAGTATACTGCTGAATTTTAATTTCATTTTTGTTCACACTGGGGTTCTTCCCTCATGTTTAATCCCTTGTAGGCATGCAGGTATGTTGAAGTCACCAAGACAAGCTGCAACTTCACTGTCTTTTCCTTGTTTGGCATTGACGTTCACCTGCATTAAACTGTCTTTGCTTTCGTCTGGCTTTTATGATTTCACTTGTCTGAATTTTATATGGCAATTGTAATGTAAACCTCCCCTGACTTAACAGAATTGCTTGCATATTCCCAGAAGTGTATTCTATGTTCTCTATTGTTTTTTAGAGGATAAATTTGAGTGTCTCATGCTGGAGAAAGCAGTATTAATCTTCAGTTCTGCAGAGACCTCTGCAAGTGATTAATTTACCAATTGTTTAAAATAACATGGCTTGGTAGAGGAAGTGATTAAATAACATCTGAGATACATATTACTCCTAACTAAATGAACATTTAAAGATTGATTCAGGTACAGAGAATAAAAAACCCCAAAGCCAAAAAAACCCACCTTTCCTCCTGAAACAACACAAAACCCCTATAAAATTAAATGTTAACTAAAACAATTTCAGATGTCTATTATATATTTTTATTCCAATTATAAACATTTTACAAACATTTTGGTTTTTAGCCTGAAAATTTCATGCTTTTATGTTCTCTCTGTACCTATTAGCAGAAGGTAGCAGGTTTTTAAAAGGAAGTAAAGGTATTTAAATTGTCAAATCCTCTGAAATTCCATGAGAATTAGTCACCTCAAAAATGGTTGTGGAATGGAAACCCATGCAGAGGACTCTAACTGTATTATCACTTGGAATGCAAAAATGTTTTTGAAAGAAGATAAGTCATGCTTCAACAAATATTTGCAGAGGGATTTGGAAAGTTTAGTGGTATCATGATTGAAAGAAACTCCCTTGGCGTCAAAGATATTCCAGCCCTTTTTCTTTTGTCTTTAACTGTTGGCAGATTCAGTATTTTTCCTGTCCCTTATGCTTATGTAGAGAGTACTTAACCTTTGACTCCTCCCTAAATTTCTATGCCAACTTGATGTCCAGACCTTATTTCAGAGATATCTTCTTCTACTCTCCTATCATGCCTTTCATCTTAATGCCTAGCCTGTTCCAGTTTCTCATCACATATTTCATGCCATCTTTAAAATTCATCTTGCCCTACTTATCATTAAGAAAAACTCCTAACACTTCTCAGACACTTTCACTGATTTGTTCTCATCCTTGATATCACACTAAAGTTCTGACCATCGTCTGCTGGACTCTGCATGGTTTATCCCCTTCCTGCCTCTATGAACCTGTTTCCTTCTCTGTATCCTTTTCCATGTAACTCTACCTTCATTCAATAAAAAAAATAAAATATGGAAATTGCTGTACATCTGTGTTTCCTTCTCATCACCCCTGATCATCCTCTCCATGGGTACCTCTATTGCCTAGAGTTCTTGTCCACAGGAACATGCCAGACATAAAAGTTTAGATAGAAGCCATCAGATCATGTTTGATCTTCTCTACATTACAGTCCT